CCGACTAGGAGGGGTTGTTTGTTTTTTCTGTGTTGCTTTCTTTGTCCTGATTGATTTTGTCTTAGTTTTTTTTTCAATTTTAGGTAGCAGTTTTAGTCATGTTCATGTTATATTTTGAGTTTCAGTTATATTTTAATTGTGATGGTAGGAAGTTCCCTTTTTATAGAAAGTGCTATGAAGAATCTGCATTTCTTCTTTGTCTTTTATTTGATGTTTCATATTAGGTTTAGGTTAAGGTTTATTATTAATTTAGTTTAGTTTTTATTTTCTTTTTTGTTTAGTTTCATTTATTTCATTTTCACTGTTTTGACTGAAAAAGTAATATTTTTCAGTTACATTTTTATTCAGGTTCAGGTTTTGCTAGTTCATGCTTAAGTTGTCAGTTTATGTTTCACTTTTTAAAAAAATCATTTTAGATGGAACAAGTGCGTTACACACAACAGAGGCGAGGCCCATATACGAACAGCCACCTCTGGTTGCGGCAATTCAGTTCTCCATCTACACCCCTGTCCCAATCCCCACCACTACCTCGTCGACAAATAGGACAGGTGCTTTCAATTGAAGATGACTATGCCATCTGCCTCAAGCCGTTGGCCGACCGTTATCAGGAGGACGTTGCAGCTAGCGCAGAGCTTCGGGTCATGCCCTGCTCCCATGTCTTTCACAAGGACTATATCTTTGAGTGGCTTAGGCGTAACAACACGTGTCCTATTTGTCGCTATCAGCTTCCTAGCAGGAATGATGATAATGATGTGGAGGAGGTCTAGGAGTAGTTTTGAATTTACTATTTTCTTTTTAATGAATGTAAGCTGGGGTTGCATTGTGTTATGAGTGTTGAATGTTGAAAGTTAATTATGCTGTGATTTGCATATTTCATCTCTGTGATCTAGTTCTTTGTTTTGTTCATTTTCTTCTTTTCTTTTTCATTTCTAGATTGATTTATGGATTGATTTCAGTAATAGTTGTCTGATGGCATGATAATTTTTCAATTACAGTTTATTTGGTTTGTAATTACAGTTTGTCTTTACAATTTTTACAATGATTTTTGCATTGTAAATATCTTGTATGGTTGGTGTAATTAGGTTCAAATTGGCTCATTTTTTTGTTGTTCTACTTGGTTATCTTCTAATTTCCCTTGCATAGAACAGATCTTTATATTTATTCTGTGTTTTTGTTTTCATCATCATCTACCAGCTTTCCACTATGTTAGATGATGATGTGGAGGAGGTCTAGGAGTAGTCTGATTAACTGATCCAGTTTTAGTATTGTTCAGTGTCTGTATAATATCTAAAAATTGTATCTACGTTATATGTTAACTTTTGCTTAGTTTTTGTGTGGATAAATTTCTGTAAATTGGATGGATCATGGGCACTATCATCTTTTGTTTCTGTAATGTTAAGTTTCAGTTTTAGTGAGAATGCAGTTTCTATGTTTGTTCATTTCACTTGAAATGTGTAGTGCATTTTTTAATTGTTGGTTTTATGTTCTTCTATATCTATTATAACTGTACAATTTTTTTCTTTGTTAGGTGTTCATAGGCATGGCTGCTGTGGGAGTATGTTTTGTATCTATTTTTCGTAGTTTCATTTTATTCTACTTTGTTTTTAATTGCACATTGATCTAATCTATCTATCCCATATTGTTTTTTTTTAATTTTTAGAACAAGTGTTCTCCCTACACCTATGAGAACAGGCGTGTGTCTTATTATGTGATGGAGTTTCTTGAGCTTCAAGTTGTCGAGCAGGATCATTTGATGGCTGCTAGAAATATGAAGTGGAAATGTGAAGATAAAGCTATCATGGTTGCTCGTGCTGCTAAGCAAATTGGTTCCAAAGCTGTTGTCAAGAATTTCAAGTTTTGCTACGATGAGGCTGATGAGACTGTTTATGGCCTTGTTCAACGTGATGGTCTAGCTGCTGATAAATGTCGTTTCTGTTATCATGTTGCTAAGGAAACTGTTTCCTTCTTTGAAGTCAAGAGTATTCTTGCGAGGGAGAATTCAAGAAGAGATTTCCTTGATATGGAAATTTGGATTAGGGTATGTTTCTTACAGTTTGTTTATTAGTTTTTGGATGTTGCTTTTGGAAACTTAATTTTCTGAACGCTATTTTCTTGTTATCTATAGCCGTTTTCTTGTCTTCCATAGCTGTTTTCTGCAATATTGCCTTACTTAGTCTGTAGCATTGTGACATAGGAGTGGTAGAAATCAAAATATTGAAGGGCAGCATGCATTTACATGTATTTAGCATGTCAGCAGACTTCTGAAGAATGAACTGTGATGAATAGCTGAACGGAATGAGTTCTGTTTTAATACTTGTACTGTTATCCTTTGATAGTAAAGCATAATAATAATGATGTTTATTTAATCTACATGATACTATTTCATTTCTTTATTATTTGTTTTTCTTTTTTAGGGAAATCATTCTGATTCAACTGTGGACAATGAAATTGTTTCATTGTTTGTTGTTGAGCATCTTGATTTAGTTCCTGCAGCTCAAAACAGACCTCTTGTTGCAAAGGGTCTGGAAAACGAAGACAAGGTGAAGCTGGTAGCTCGTGTTGTTCAGCAGAACCGTGGTGTGTCTTCTCTGTCGAAGTTCAAGTATGCTTTGGATGGTGTGAATGGGACTGTCTATCTATTGGTTGGCGACGCCTAGGAGGCTCAATTGATGGTTGGTCGTTCTTTCAAAGTGGAAGGTCAACTTATGAGTTTTTATCGTGTGCTTAACATTGAGACAAGGTATACAGGTGATGACATTTATCAGTCTGCTTCTGTGCGCAAGGTTTGGCCACCTAGTGCTGTTTAATTCAACTTTGTTGAGGTATTTGTTTCTCTGATCTTATTGTGGGCAAGGTGATGGCAAGTAGTAGTTGAAATTGTTTAAGTTGTTAAATTAGTTAAGTAATGGACTCTTATTAGAAGAATGTGTTGTGTATCTGAACTTGTGGTTTCTAAATTCCTGCTTATGGATGTTGGCTTGTAATATATATGTCTTATGATTTCTTTTTTTGTTTCTTTCAATATGTATGCTTATTTAGTTTCCAGGATGAGTGTTTTTTGCTAGCTGGTTGCTATTCCAGCCTTATCTCTATTGATTTGTGCTTGTACTGTAAATTTAGATAATTTTTGTTGTTTGGTTCATGTGCTTCTGTATTGTTTCCTTACATTTTACAGTTTCAGTGTACTGTAATTACAGTCAGTCATTTCATGTTTTACATTGGTATGTTCAGTGTAAATTTCTTTTTTGAGTTGTGTAATTTGTTTTAAGTTTTTAAATTTGCATTCTGTAATTTGTTTTTATTTTTGTTATATTTGAATTTCTTCCAATTTGCCTTACATAGAAAAAAATCTGTAAATTTTTCTTCTATTTAAATTTGCATTTTGTGAATCTGTTATCTGTATTTTGTATTTCTTTCTGTCATATTTGAATTTCTTCCAATTTCCCTTCCATAGAAAAAATCTGTATATTTTTCTTCTTTTTAAATTTGCATTTTGTGAATTTGTTATCTTTATTTTGTATTTCTTTCTGTTATTTTTGAATTTCTTCCAATTTGCCTTACATAGATAAAATTTATTTATTTGTATATTTGATTTTATTCTGTTTTTTTGTTATTTTTTTGTGGCCTTTGGATTTGGATCTTGTGGTTTTTGAAAATCGGGTGATTGCTAGATTGAAATCACTCGATTCTGGTTTGGAGGTAGAATCGAGTGATTTATGGTTCTGGCTCACTCGGGTGACCAATCGCCATAAATCACCTGACATATTAGTAGACAGACCCAAATTATAAACCAAATTGCGTCGCATCCTAGAACTAATTGGCCATGTTGTTACGGTTGAACTGTAAGAAATTATAAACCAAATTGCAGTGATAGTCCAGCGATGTTGCGATGCTGGCAGGCCAGGGAAGCTAAACCAATTTTTCAGTGATGGTCCATCGATGTTGGCAGGCCAGGGAGCAGCTAAGCAAATAGGCCATGACCCCATGTTTTTTTAAGCAAGCATATTTGCATTGTACATGGCCTCGGCTAGCAGGCCAGAGCGGGCCCGTTTGCTTCTCAACTTCTCAAGCCAAGCAATCCTCCCCTTACGCGAGCAGCATTCCCATTTCGGACGCCTGGGCTGTGACGCTGGCCCGCGTGCTGCGCAGGAGGTCCGCAGTTTTCACTTGCTCGCTCCGTCCACAAAAAATATAATTATAAGATCCATGTCGGTTAACCTAGCTCAAATGTAGCTAAATTTATAATGAATATTATTAGCATTTATATTTTTAAATAATTTTATTATAAAAATATATTCTACAATTAATCTAATAATCTTTATTTTATATCATGAATGTTAATACCTTTTCATATAAATTTAGTTAAAGTTTAAACTTTTAACTGAGAATTGCATTTTTTTTGTTTTTTTTATTCCTCCACCTTTAGGTGCAAGATGTACTATCTAAACTCACGCAACAACTCATACCACCACACACAGACTCACACACACATCCTCAAGTGCGGAAGAGGTTAAGGTTGCACATGGCTGAGAGCTATTCGAAATCATTCAGGCTTCACAAGTGACGGGCACGTCACCCTAACCATTGTGGCGCATCCATATGCGAGGCTGAAAATATTGAGGGAAACCCCGGTGGGAAACGACGACCGGCCGCTCCACCACTGGAAGCCAGTTGACTGTGGGAGTATGTAAGAGACGGACACGTGAGAGTCAAAATCCCTCTCATCCCCTCCAATCCCTGAACAGGCCGTCAATGAGAATCATTTACCAAATAACATCAACACTAGCATAGTTATCACAGCAAGCATAAGTCATCTCATTATCGACGGCAATGGTAGGTTGATGTTGGACTAGGACTCGATCCTAGATGGATCGGAGAATGCACACGGACCACAAGGAATGGAAGAACATACGTCCCCAGAAACAGTTTCATGGGGCAACACCACAATCGTCTGCATTTAAGCAGTAATGCCGAACATGGGGTTTCGGCTTCATTTCATTTCATCCCATGGCATACTTCTGGGTCCAGCTGCGGGCTGTCGCCTCATATTTAGGCCGATCCGTCTTGTACATGTGAGCAATCTCAGGGACAAGAGGGTCATCTGGGTTGGGATCAGTAAGCAGGGAGCAGATAGAAAGCAAGACCTAAAACATAAAAAAACAATGGTGGTTAGTGATGCAGCTACACATTAGTACGCAAGTATTTCGAGGATAGCATACTACATATAGTAATCGGACTGATCCTGAATGGCAGTTGTAGATTAGGTGAGCTTGAGGAGAGAATCATACTATTGTCTGACAGTTCTGTAGTCGAAAGGTGTATAATTTTTTTGGACGTGTAAATTTTGAACCAAAAGAATGGCTTGCAATTGATATTCTGCCATAAGCCCATAATATGCTGACAGCATAAACAAAAACAGCTTACATATATATCAGTTTTATTCTGAACCATTAGACTGGATAAACAGCAATACAGCATTTAATCTTCTACATATATAGAGACTATTACCAGGAGGCAAATACTGACATTTCAAATTGCAGGAAGCTGTATCATCTAAATTAGCATTTGATTATAATATGAAGAGTATAGGGGCTAACACAACAAAGATAAACATGACAGCATGCATTTAAGCTAATCATTTACTGTGCATAAGTCATACTAGTAAAGTAGTACTAAATTGTGTCAGCACCTTAGAGATTGTCAAAGCAGGGCTCCACTGCTCCTTAAGAATGTCGAGACATATGCTTCCATTACTATTGATGTTTGGATGGAAGACCTTCGTCTTAAAAGATACCTAAAAAAGAGATAATTCAATGGTAGTGAACAGAAACAGAAGAAAACATACAGAGAAAAACTTTATACAGAAAGAAACAGACCCAAAAATTTGAACCTATCCAAAATTGACCTTAAGTTCAGTGCCACCAAGAAGTATATTGGTGATATTCAGAAAAATAAACAACATAAAAATGATGAAAGGAATTACTAAAATAATGAAATAATGGGCTTTAAACCATAGAAACAGAAGGGTTAGTTGACCCTGCATGTCAAAATCTGGGGATGATCATACATACAAGAATTAACACTGGTACATTTATGAAGCGTGTAAGTTGATAGCATGAACACCTCTTCACGATAACACATTACAGAAGAGAATGACAGGAAAAAAAACTCAACCCCCGGGCATTTTTGCTAAGAACTTCACACGCAAGTCGAGAAAACCCCCGAACCCCTACCCCACCCATACACAGCGGCACCGTAGCCCATGTGAGAACAACCGCAACTTGGGTCGGGCCTTAGACCTGTGCTTTGGCGTGGGATAGACGAGGAGATTTTTTTTTTAACCCCAGCCTAAAATTCGCTCCCACGGGGAGTCGAATCCAGGACTTGAGGAGTGCTACTAGAGCCACCTAAACAACTTAGCTAAAGGCCTGTTCACAGACAGACAGACAACACTTTCATCCTCCAATAAAAAAAAAAAAAAAAACAGAAAATTGAACTCTAGAATAAAGTGATGCTAACCTTTGGAGGCTTGAAGGGGTAGTCCGGGGGAAATGAATGTTCACTAAGAAAACACCTCCAGCATATGGACTATCAGGAGGACCCATGATGGTTGCCTGCCAGTGGAACATATCCTCACCAGCAGGACCTAAGGAAATAGAAAACTATAATCCATGAACGCTCAAATGTGTACAAGAAAAGCACAAAAAGAGAGCAAAAACAAAATCATTGCTCACGACTCATCAAATTAGATTTCTAATTAAATAATGAGAGTAAGATGCTCTGTTCTGGATAGTTCTTTTTGAAAATCAAACATCAACGTCAGCTATCACAACATGAGACATCAACAACCATTCCACAGTATCGCAGAGCAAGAATGGCAATGAACTTGTATGCATAGATAAATATGTGATTACACAAATAGCATTCCCAGCTGACAAACTGCAGTACAGATATTCATAATTTATTTTCCAACGAAACATCTCAAAATGAATTCCTGAGAGAACCAAACCCATGAATACTTTCAGTTTATTTAGGTTCACTCCCAAAGTACAGAGATCTATGACAGAAAAAAATTACTCGTGACGACAAAATTCTATAGCACAATAAAGATTTTCTATCATGAGCTTCTACCCTGTAAGCTGTAACAGTTTAATTAGTATCCAGAAATATAACAAAATGCATCAATGCTCAGATAAAAACCATGTGGCAAGCTCATACCTGCACTGCATGATGTTGGAGGGTCCTTTTGCAGGTCCTTTAATTCCTTGAGGATACGTTTTGATGCCATGATAAGCCCCTGCATTGACCACATTTGCATATTGTGACTAGTTAGATGTAAATGGCAAATACAATAGTTCAAACAAATCTTAAACTAATGCTACTTAGATAAATGACAAATACAATAGTTCAAACAAATCTTAAACTAATGCTACTTAGATAAACTAAACTGGCACTCTGGCAGCATGAGTAAACATAACAAAGTAAAGGAGTGGGTATTTATTTGGTTACTAGCTCATCCTAAGTAATCCAGACGCTAACATTAAAATCTACATGGTGGATCCACAAATATACCAAATCTTGACATGACTTCGTCTGTTAGAAGCGTATAAAACATCAATCAGGTACCAATTGGACAGATAAGGCTGACAATTTAAAATCTTAAAGTTAGCTTCATGAATTATGCTAGAACGAAGAAACATACGCGGGTCACGATCTGCGGACATCAGATCAACCACCGCTACTGCTAAACCCAGGAGCAGAACTTGACCACCCCACAAAATAGCAAAATCAAACAGGTATTATTAGCACGACACCACACAACAAGCAAATCCGCAACAAACTGGATGCAAGGGAGCACCAATCGCAGGAAGAAATATTTCGATTTCAGGGCTCACAGCAGAAAAGATATTCTACAGAACAGAGCAAAACGATCAGTCCGCCGAAGCAATCTAGGCTTCCTATAACCAAACAAAAAAGGGATCGAATCCAGTCCTGGATGGATCCCCAATCGACGAAGGTGGAAGGGGAACGGGAACGATGAGGACGCCTAAGGGATAAGGGTCGGAGGCGGAGCTGCGGCCGATGGGGATACCTGGATCTGGATCGGGGCGCGTCCGGCGCGGAGGGAGGGAGGTGAGCAGCCTGCAGAGTTGGGGAAGGAATGGTGGTGGCCTTTGGCCTCGGTTGGTGCGTCGTGAACCGATAACTGAATATGCAATGCAAGGTGGCCCGGGGGTAATTCCGGAATACCATCTGAAATATGAAGCTTGTCAAGAATTTTCGTGTTGGGGCTTGTATGTTTCCGCGGTCGCGTCACGTTTCAGCGAAATCACGAGAAAAGCCCGTCGAACGCCTCGCATCAAATGCGCGTCCGCCAGCCTCCCACAACAGGATACGCGGAAAAATTGAATTGTACGATAGAAAATCACGCGCCGCGTTCACTTCGTAAGCCAGCCAGCAGCCGGCCGTACGCTGAGCCATGTCATCTCAAGGCAGTGTATGTAAATATGTAAATAATAAGTTGGCGTTTAAGTTGGTTGTTAGTTTTTCTTTATTGAATACTTTATTTGCATGTGCATCTCATCTCTTGTGGCTACATCTTTATTGCCCCTTGCAATGCTAGGCAAGAAAACAGATCTGGTGGGAGCATAGGATCCAGAGGAGGGGACGGGGGGCCACCAAAAGCAACTCTATCGTCGACTGAGGATGAGAGCAAAGCGATTGTGTCTTGGGAAGGTGCCCTTCTTGGGCGGCAAGGCGGCAAGGCTACCGCCCGCTTCCTTCTCTCTCATTTGTTCTCCCTCCTCCAGCTCAGATTCTGTTGACGTGGACTCCCTCGCCGCCGGCTTCTAATCGATCAGTATACTTGCTCTTATCATGGTCACGCGATGGGCTATTGCGGAAACAACCAAATCCTTACAATCATATATAGAATCTAGGGGAAAAGAACCATATCCAAGCAATGATAGCTTTTTTTCATGAAGACACTCAAAATGATAATTTGGATGTTAAGAGTAATGTTATTGTAATTTGAATGTTTATTTGAGCATCAGATTGTACAGTTCATTATCTAGCGCATTTGCAAGCTGAAACAAACATGCTCTGCATCAATAATAAATTAATAATGATAATGACCTGTGCTTTATAAAGTAGGTGAAATAATGTATGTCACGACCAATATTTTCATTAACATTTTATTGTATTTAGTGCCTTTTAGTCCGGTCAAAGCCTGAAGTGAACATCAAATATGGTTGGTATAGATGCATTGCCCCGCGACTATAGCAGACACGGCAGTCGGTCGTGCTTATGCCAAACTCAATCAGAGATGGCGTTAACAAGGTTAGTACGCTACCGGCTACTGGCTACTGGCTACTGGCTACTGCTATGAGAAAAGGCACAGGCAGCCGGCGGTTCGCCAGCGTGCGCACGGCGTCCGACGAACGCCACGTGAAATTGCGTCCCCGCGCATGAATGCCATCACGACTGCCGCCAACCCGAACTAAGGGTTTCTCCGCTGCTTTTTTTTTTTTACTAGTAGCCCAAATAGGATGAGATAACGTATGTTTTGAGAGAGAAACTGGTCCGTACTGCAAACAGAAGAGAAAAAGGAAATAAAGTCGAGATACGACGAAAAAAAAAGTTTCTTTACAAACCACAAATAATAATAGTTTATATTGTGTAAACAGTAGTCTTAACATTTTTAATTTATTTGGATCACTTTATATTTGTACCAGAGACTCCATTGTGCTGCCTTAAGCACGCGTCGCGGGCGTGCCGGATGCCCGGCGTTGCCGCGAAGGCGCGCACTGCTACAGCCTTCCCTGCGAGGCTGCAACAGCGATCACGCGGCGCGCACACGCGGGGACCATGACTCATGGGGCCCGCCGGCCCAGGTTACGCGGCTGGGTCTCGAGCCTGTGCTCGGCGTCAGCGGCCTGCGGCTGAGGCTGTGCGCAACCACTAGTTGGGCTAGACGGCTAGTTGCCGGCCGGACACGGCCGGCAGGCGGCAGGCGTATGGGTGTGGAGTGTCGACCGTGGACGTGGAGGCAGCGCAGCCGCCGTCCTGGTTTGGCAATAGTTGCGCCCGCCGCTATCAGTCGTTTTTGCACGTCCGTTTCTGCCTTCTCGTGTAGCCCCATTAGCGGACGGGCAAGATCACATCTTGATGTGCTCTGGGAGTCACCCACTCAGGGCCACGTTTAGTTCATCCAAATTACGAATTTCAAGACACACTCAGTTAAGATTCGTCACATCAAACTACTACCGGTATTAAATGGGGTTGATCTTATTCATGAGATTTAACGACGGACTACTACCGGTACGGGGTTGATAGGACTGTACAGCCACAACAGCAAGCGGCTAGTTATTACTACTACCACCAGCTAAACCAGATCAAGCAACAAGCTCCTTTGGTTTGGATCTCCCAACAAGCAGCAGCTACGGACCAAGATCAAGCAACAAACTCCTTTGGTTTGGATTTCCCAACAAGCAGCAGCTACGGACCAAAAAAAAATCCCTGGGAAAACGAACAGGAAAAGGAGACCAAATCAAGCACTGCGAAATCTGAGTGGTCTGGCACAAATAGAGGGGAAATTCAATTCATTAATCACGCTGCAGAGATTATGTCAAATTACAGAGCAACACTATCCTATGAAAATCAGAAGAGCTACTGATTTAACTGAACAATACAATGGCATGGATTGTCAATCAGCTCGCTAGACTCAGAAAAAAAAGAAAGAAAATGCACAACAGATTTACTGGAAACGATGGGGAATCAACGGAAACCGTGCTATGCAGGTGGCTATCAACTTTGCTGAAGCTCTATAAGCAATTCACTATGCAACCTAGCTACCATCTCTTGCTAAACTATGCTGTACCCCCTCATGGTGCTTGTGCAGTCTCTGGCTTGTCCTCAAGGGGCGTCCTCGTCCCAGAAGAGTAAGAATTCCGGATCTCCGTAATCCTCCTGATCACCTCCTCCATCTTAGGCCGCTGCTCGGGGGCAATGGCCACGCATGCCATTGCGATCTGGAGCATCTGGACCATCTCGTCCTCGACGTTGGGATGCCTTAACAAGTCCACGTCGAAGACCTCAGCGGTCCACTCTTCACGAACCACAGACTGCACCCATCTTGGGAGATGTTCTATGGAATCCTCGCGCCCGGGAGATCTGAGAGGGGCTTTTCCAGTTAGCATTTCAAGGAGCAAGACACCAAAGCTGTAGACGTCGGACTTCTGAGTTGATTTTTTAGTCTCGAGGACTTCTGGTGCTCGGTATCCAACAAGCCGTGGCGCGGTCTGTGGAGTGGTCATGATCTGTGCCAAGCCAAACTCAGAGACACAGCCGTCGAGGTTCTGTGATAGAAGGACATTTGATGCTTTGATGTTGCCATGGATGAACTTCCCTCCTCCCTCAGCATGAAGATGGGCAATACCACGGGCTACATCCCGAGATATCTTGACTCTTGTCTCCCAGTTCAATGGAGCTCTTCCAGCAGCTTTATTCCCTGAACGTAGTTACAGTGAAATGCAACGGCGTCATTTCATATCACAAGCCATAAAAAATATACAAAATCTTGTCAACAAAGAACGATGTTTCTGGCATAAATTAAATTCAAAACACGATGTAAATGCCTGAATCTTATTGATACACTTACAGTGAATGCTAATGACATGCATTTTCCAACTCATGGATTTAAAAGGAAAAGGACAAGGTGGGTAGCTAGGATAAATGGTGATAAGTTTAGTCGATTCTTTCTTAGGAGAAGAAAAAACAGTAGTTCTCATATGATTAAAAGAAGAGCTAACACATAGATTTGATACAGGTTTAGTGGCAACTCTGGCACATATTACAGAACACCACTTTAGTCCATTTCTTCTGATGGTAAAGGTTGAAGAGCACAATTCAAACAAAAGTGTAATAATGTTTAGTATTGTCTCTTTCTTGGGAAACAATCTGATTAGAAAAACTTGGATGATGATAAAAACAACTACTATACCTACTAAAGGAATCATTCCAGATTTACTAATTATGTTAAAGCATTAAAGATTCACTGTCCTAAACCCACTAGTAGCATTGATTCTGGTTTTAATTTGTGATTTTCTAGCTAAATCTTTAATAACCTTGAACTGTGCGTATTAGTCTATTTCCTAGCTTCAATATTGAGGAACAAGTTGAACAGTTAGAAATTAAGAAATAGTGTTGACCACAGTAATAATCAAAGTGGCAAAATAATGAGCGTACCATGCAAAACAGCAGCAAGGCTACCAGATGGGACATAATCAAACACCAACAGCTTCTCATCCTTGGAGTAATAGTAAGCCCGCAATGGAATGACATTTTGATGCTGGCCAACCCTACCAATTATCTCCATCTGCTGTTCAAAATCCTTCTTGCTAACCACCGCTTCCTTCAATCTCTTGACAACAACTGTGGTTCCATCCTCAAGAACAGCTTTGTAGGTGGTTCCATAACTTCCTTTTCCAAGGACTTCAGCAGAAGCTCTCAACAAATCCTCCAAGTCAAAATTATATGAACTGCCCTCGAAGAAAACCAATTTATTCCTCTCTGCTTCCTGAACACCACTGCTGTAGTCTTCCTTAGGGTTTTCTGCCCTGCCACCAGCAATAGCTTTTCCTTTGGACGAAGCTGTGGTAGGTTCAGTGTGTCTCTTTCTCTTGAAAATACATATCAAGAGCGTGAGAATCAAAATAAGCAACAATACCCCTCCAACAGCAGCAATCGCAATTAGCACACCAGTTCTGATCTTTTTCCAGAAGCTCTTCTTGGTCTTATTGGGTGATGGTGGTGATACTGGAGAAGGAGTAGGTGCAGTTCCAAAACATGGTTCCAAAGGAAACCCACACAGAAAAGCATTCCCTAAGAAGGAACTTGATGGAAACCTCTGCAAGGAAGGTGGTATTGGCCCACTGAGGTTATTGTTGCTCAAATTCAAATGTCTCAATTTAGGAAGTTGGAGGTCAGGAATGGGTCCAGAAAGTGAGTTGTTCTGGAGAAGCAATGCAGTAAGTTGAGTAAGATTTTGCACTTTCAATGGGATTTCTCCATCGAAAGTGTTGTATGACAGGTCTAAGAATGTTAAGCTGGAAGAGAGGGAAGTTGGTATGATTCCAGACAGGTTATTATGCTGAAGGTAGAGGGAATGGAGGGCAGGAATAGATCCTACATCAGGAGGGAGGTCGACAGTAAGGCGATTTGACCTAAGGCTCAATACCTCCAAGGCATCAAGCTTCCCAAGAGTGTCTGATGGTATTGGACCAAAAAGTCCTACAGCAGGTAGGCGCAGTGTATGTACACGGCTCTTATCTGGTGTGCATGTCACCCCCACCCAAGAAGTGCAGACAGGTGTGGTGGAGCTCCAGTTGAGCTTCCTGCCATGAGGCAGTGATGCAGCAAATGCGAGAAGAGCCTGTTTGTCAGAGTTCAGATCAGCACTTTTGGCATGCGGAATGCTTGCAATGAGAGAAGCAGCCAAAAAGGCTATCACTGTAAGATGTTGCATAGTTGAGACTTGCTTGAAGAGAACTGGATTCAGCGCTACTATACAAACTTTTCCATCATAACTTCAAATCTTCAATTCTCTAGCAGTATAGAAAAGAAACAAAAGTTAGTGAAAATAGAGCATAACAACAAAATCATAGTTCATATAAAAGAAGGAAATAAGGATAGTAAGCATGACACATAAGCTCGTGCCCTCTGATATACTTTCATCACTAACTTCCTAATAAGAAAAATAAAGATGATTAAGAGAACCTGAGAAATTTGAGAAAAAGTGTGAGGAGCACATCTTGCACATGTTGGCAATATTGCAGAAAATAGTACATCAAATACCTGGATCCCAAAAATACAAAGATATTTCAAAAATAGATAGGTGGGGAGTGGGACATTTTCTGTATTAACAATCCACCAGTAGCACGTCTCCCTAGTTTTCAAAATCGAGGCCAAATCTTAGTTCATTTCAAAGACAGAATCCTTAGTCAGCAAAGAAATACTAGTAGATATTCTATTACGAAATACTACTCTTATGGCCTAAACAGAATTGTGACACCCTAAAACTACAAAAAAAAAAATACTGCATTAGTTAGAACACTAAATAAGAAACAATGTACCTTATACATCATGACAAATTATTCGGGAGTTTCAGGGTGGCATTGGGAGCCACTCAAGCTGTACCTACCTACGCTATGACTTTGCATAACCCAGAATAATTCACTTTGGCAAATGGAGCTACCATGGTCAAAAGCTTCATATTTCTCAACTGCCAGTAGTAAGCGCATCTCCAAAAGGAAACACACATGACCCTCATTGTCTTTTCCTCTAATCTCAACCTAAGACAACCATCAAACTGACCTGCCATAGTTTATCTTCCTCTTTTTAAACGGGGCAGTTGGGGTTGGGATCAGGAGCATATGACAAAAGCAAACCACCCATATCACATCAGAAAGTAGCCATCATTCATCAGTCACAAGCCTCCTTTTAATAAAGCACATTACTCATTATCTTAACATATTAACTTTAAAAGTTGCTCACTAAAAACTGTCCTCCAAGCATTGGAATTAGGACTAACTAACCATCATCATAAGAAAACAATAGCAGATAATGCCAAGAGAACTGTTTTGCCAAAGTCTCCCAAAGGGAAAACTGCTAGATTCCATTACTTGGAGGTGGTCTCCAAGCATTGGAATTAGGACTAACTAACCATCATCATAAGAAAACAATAGCAGATAATGCCAAGAGAACTGTTTTGCCAAAGTCTCCCAAAGGGAAAACTGCTAGATTCCATTACTTGGAGGTGGTCTCCCTCATGTACCAGCATATAGTACTGCGTTACACAGGTTACACCTCACCTAACCTTCCATATACGCCTGACGCAGCAGTCATGCCGTTACGTTCTGAAGAACCAAATGCTTAACAAAAGTGACGGCACAGCACAGATACTAAAGACTAGCACATAAAAGCTAAAGCTCTCTGATGCAATGCAAGAAATCAAAGGGGGCATGAGAAAAGACGAGAGCTTTGGAACTTTGGTGGGGGCTGAGGTGAATTAATGCCGTTGTTCTCATGAGACTCATGGGCTGGATGGGCTATAGGCTGGCACGGTCCTACTCGAATCCATCTCACCGCGCAACCGATTGCAAACCCAGTAAAGTGAAGATATGACAGGCTCAACCACACAAACAACATTTACACAAGAATAGCATAAATCCTTTTCCACATGAAAAAAAGGAGTTGCTAACACATCTAGAAAAGGCAAAGTAACAAGGAAACAAACAATGACTCCAGAGAGTAGTACCAAGTACTGGTCCAGAGGGGGTTTTGTTCGATCGGATCAAGTGGTTCTTTGATTAATGGAAGATTCAAATTACCTAACTCTTCAGGAAATAAAAAATAGGTCAATTTGTCAATTTTATCAGATTCCGGACTGTGATTTTTGTGCAAAAGGAGCGAACACAACAAACTGCATTGCAGTAGCCTGCAATAACCTATACATCCCTTGCTAAATTCTCTACCGAAAATGGGGAGCGGCGCTGAATCCATCCGAAATCCCAATCTTGGCAGCAAATTCTCAGGCCCCGAAAGAAACGAGTGCAGAAAAGAAAACCGCTGCCTCAAGAACAGAGAAGAAGGTCCCAAACCTTTGGCGAGCGGAAAACCAAGAAACGACAGGCTCCCACTCTCCCTTCTCGCGTCTTCCGCCTCAAGATCCAAGCTCTGGCCGGAACCATGCGAGGAAGACGCCGATTCGAGAACAGCGACGGCGACTCAGGCCGATCTGCCCCCGGGGAAGGCCAGCATTGCGCCGAGGCGCCGCGTAGAGCCTCGGAGGGAGCCCGCGCCAGCCGCCACTCTCGCCTCCGGCTCTTTCGCTGGAGACCCGGGAGCTCGCCGCGACTGAGCTGTTCTCGTGCCTGCGCCCCCTCTGTCCGGAGTGTCGTGGGGCGTGGTGGAGCGGACGCGGGCAGGGCGCAGTGAGAGCTGTACTGTGAGTGTGAATCAGTGTGATGCCGCCTGCGAGTCGCTTGTGCTGTGTTGTGTGTACACATTTGGTGTGCATTTAAGAGAAGCGTGTCGGGTGTTTGGTCTTGGGAATTAGTGAGTGACGAATTTGCCCCGGCCGGAGCCGCAGTCTGCAGGAGAGATGCGCTGGCGTGGCCTCTATGGCTGACTTCAACAACCGTACGCTGTCTGCCTCTTAGGCTGATAAGCCACTGACTAAAATATTTATCGTTGTAGAGGTGATCAACAAATAAATATTTATAGTTTTACTGTACGTTATGATTAGAGATGATTTAGCACTCAATGACACAGGGTTTATACTGGTTCAGGCAACGTGCCCTACGTCCAGTTTAAGTTGGTCGGTGACTTTATTTCTGAGCCCAGATGCTCGAAGTTTGCAGTGAGGTTACAAACGAGAAGAAGAAAGATAGGGGTACAAGAGGTCCGATCGGACTCTGGTCGGAGGGACCGAAAGCGACAGGAGCTCCACTATGTTGCTAAGTGTTCGAGCGTGTGCTCAAGGTTTAAACATGTTGGTTCTGCTACTGTGTACCAGTGGATTTTGATCGATCTAATGAATCTGAATCAACTTGAATGAACTTGAATCAATATTTTCTTTTGAAAGAGAGCGCATCCCTTTTTATAGATGAAGGGGATAACTTTACAAGTGAGAGAGAGAGAGAGAGTTCGTACGCTACTAAGCCTTGTTGCCCACTCCAGCGGGTACAGGATGATGGTAGATGCCCACAACGCTGTTGAATGTCAGATGCACGTGGGAGGTGGTGTTGTCTTCTTCGGGTATGGCAGACGTCGAAGCCTGCCACACTGTTGATACCTGACGGCATGTAAGGGGTTTTACCACGTTCGTCCGGTACGGTAAATGCGGCGCCCACAACACTGTCGATGCTCAGAGACATGTGGGGGAGCCTTACCGTATGAGAATTTAATGGTGCCCACAATACTGTAGGGAAAATATCGGCGCCTACAACACTGCTTGGGCTCTGTTGTGTCAGAGAAGTTGCAAAGTACTGTTTCTGCACGTGTACAGGGTATGGTTCCTGATATTGCGGTTTTGACTTGTGCGCCCTGCCTTATCTTCTCCGTCGGTTGGTCCTAGTCGGCTCTGATCGCGCTAGTCGGAGAAGAGCGGTGAGCAGGGGTTCGGTGCATCCCCGGTCGGAGACGCGGGTCGGAGTCGGAAGCGGTGCTTTGGCCAGGCCTTCTGGTCGGAAAGGCCATTCGGAGGCGAGCTGGAGACCGAAGCAAGCGCTCCGGTCGGAGAGGTGGGCCGGAGTTAGAAATGGGCATCGTTCCTTCTCGGCCAGACCTTCCGGTCGGTGCTTCGATCGCCCTTCTGGCCTATCATTTAGGTACTTTAGGCCGGCCCACGAGTTGCGCGTTGTCTGCTTGGGCCGAGCCTTTGTTGGAAAACTGGTCCGTGAGGGACCCTGGGTTTATGAACCCGACAGGAGCCTCCGAGCCCCATGGCGATTCGGGTAGAATCGTCTGGGGGATTTTTGTCTTGACGGCGGGTGCGCGCGAGCGCACCCGCGGGTGTAGCCCCCGAGCCCTCGGGCGATTCAGGCAGAATCGTCTGGGGGTGTTTTCGTGTTGCTAGCGGGGAAAGCTTTCGTTTTATCAGCGGGTGCGCGCGGGCGCACCCGTGAATGTAGCCTCCGAGCCCCCGGACGATTCGAGCAGAATCGCCCGGGGGTTTTGTCAGCGGGCGTGTGTGCGTGTTTAGTCGAGACGGAGTCGTCAACCAAGGTGTCGTTGCGTAGCCGAGGCGGTTTAGTTTTAGGAATCGAGCGAGACGGAGCTCGTGGATCCTGGCGTCGGTGCGCGTCGCGGGATCGAGACAATTAGTTTTAGGGATCGAACGAGACGGAGCTCGCAGATCCTGGCGTCAGTGCGGTATGCGTCGTAGGATCGGGCGAGTCAAAGTCGTGGATCCTGGCGTCGGTGCAGCCTGCGCAGCCGAGGAAGTTAGTATAGGGATCGGACGAGACGGAGCTTGCGGATACTGGCGTCGGTGCGCGTCGTGAGATCAGGCGAGTCAGAGTCGTGGATCCTAACATCGGTGCAGCCTGCGCAGCCGAGGCAGTTAGTATAGGGATCGGGCGAGACAGAGCTTGTGAATCCTGGCGTCGGTGCGTGCCGCGGGATCGGGACAGTTAGTTTTAGGGTTCGAACGAGATGGAGCTCGCGGATCCTGGCGTTGGTGCACTCCGTGGGATCGGGCGAGTCGAAGTCGTAGATCCTGTCGTCGGTGCAGCCTATGCAGCCGAGGCAGTTAGTATAGGGATCGGGCGAGACGGAGCTCGTGAATCCTAGCGTCGGTGCGCGCCGCGGGATCGGGACAGTTAGTTTTAGGGATCGGACAAGACGGAGCTCGCGGATCCTGGCGTCGGTGCGCGCTGTGGGATCGGGCGAGTCAAAGTCATGGATCCTATCGTCGGTGCAACCTGCGTAGCCGAGGTAGTTAGTATAGGGATCGGACGAGACAGAGCTCGTGGATCCTAGCGTCGGTGCGCGTCGTGGGATCGGGCGAGTTAGAGTCGTGGATCCTGATGGGGCGAGTTCAGGGTCGTAGACATAGGCGTTTGGTGTGCAGTCGAAGTGTAGCCAAGTCTTGAGCCCCTAAGCCCCATTGGGCCTTGGTAGGGGTTGGTTTTTGAGTTGTGTGCGTTACCCCATCCTCGGTTTCTCACAACCGAAGGGGCTGAGTTTTGTCGCTTGCCTCGATCGCTCGGGCTTGAGTGACGCGCTCGGTGAGCTCGCTAACAGGTATGTTCGAGTGGAATCTGGGTACATCGTTCATGATGGGTTGGCATAAACCTCTTGTGACATTCCACTGTTCCTTTACCTACAACCCGGCTGATGCTTGGGATATTCCAGAGACCGACCTAGGTGGCCTACTAGCCTCCCCTCGATGGTGATTCTGTGGGCTTGGTGAGAGGTTTAGGATCGAACGAGAAGGTTGAGATAACCATGTCTGCTTTGGAGCAGACTAGGCAAGGGTCGCACGGGGCTCATCTGCGTTTTCTCCCCTGGCTCTATTTGTCGTGAGGCGGCCTCAAGCCCTTCGTGGACCGGCCTTCGAACCTCGGTCGATCGTTGCTCATGTCGACTGAGGCAACTGCCACTTCGTGACTCAACATGGAGCATTGTGATGCATTTCACTACACGTGCGATGGCTTAGTTCCCGAGCCCCTAGGTGATTTAGGGCCCAAATCGTCTAGGGGGCACGGGCGTATGGAATGAATACGTGTATGGATGTATGAAATGATTATATAAAGAAATAGCTAGGGTCGATAGTGTTACCTTGATGACTCGAGTGACGGGGTTTGAAGAGCTCCAATCTAAAATGTCCGACCGGGACCCGTGCTCATCGTTCATAACGGAGTTGGCATGACCTACATGGGGCATCTCTTTGCTCCTTACCTGTCTCTCGGTGTGTTTTTCTGAGCCGTTTGATCGTCTTAGGAAGCCTGACGGTCTCTCCTGACGGAGATCCTATTTGTTTGGGTTTTTCCAAGTCCCGCCTGGGGAGGTGGGGAACCACCCGTGCGAGGTGGTCTTTGGTTCTTGCGCCCGGCGCGCGGTAGTGGTGGGCCATACCTAGGCCACGTCCCGTCTGACCAGACGCCGTTCCATCGGGTAGGGTGCGTTTCATCGGTCAGGGCGCGTCCCGTCGTATCCCATCTACATTAAATGGGGAAGGGAGAGGGTTTTTCGCTCCGTCGTTTCGACTTTCCCGATCAACGCGCCTTCCCAACTGTTGTGCATATTCCTCATCTGTCGCCTCCTTTCATTTACTTCTTTCCAAGAGCGTTTTTAAGAGCCGCAGCGGTTCCTAGGAAAGAAAAGGGTGAGAGCGAAGGCGAGGAAAAACTCACAAATCCTTTCATGAACCCGGAGTGAAATATCGGACTAGAGGTCATCCACCGTGAGGGAATCGGTGCTTAAGGCCTTCGCTGTGAAGGGGTTCCTATCACCGAAGGAGGTGGCGCACTGGAGGGCTCCCGGGAGGGAGTTCTCGCAACCTCGGGCTACCGAGGTGGTTTCCTTCCTCGCCTTCCATGAGCGTGGGTTAGGATACCCCGCGCACTAGTTCCTACGTGGGCTCCTAAATGAGTGGGGTCTAGAGCTACAGCACCTTAATCCAATGGGGATGCTACACATCACCGGCTTCGTCACCGTCTATGAGGCCTTCCTCGGGATGGAGCCACACGCGGACTTCTTCCGACGGCTGTTCTCTAGGCAAGCTTTGCCGGTGGGGAATCCGCCCGAGGTCGCATCGGTGGGGGGCTTCGCCCTACAGAGAAAACCGAGCGCGGGAGGCTCATATCTCGTGTACATCCCCTGCGACTCCAACCGGGGTGGCATGGGGAGTGGTTCTATATTAGGAACCCGGTGGAGGCATCGTTCCCGGTGTTCACCGGCGAAAGGCCGGAGAGGTAGGAAAGTTGGTTGTGGGGCCCAGCTCGTCGGGAGAAGAAGAAGGTGGAGATCATCGAGGTGGAGCTCTAGAAGCTCGTGCGGTGTGGCCCTGATGGGGTGCGGGTGTTCCACACCCTCTACCGTTGTCGGATTGCTCCGTTGGTGGAGGATAGGACGCGTGGCCGATGTGAAAGTACAATGGCCCAATGGACCTGGACCGTGCGTCGCCGGAGGAGCTATCGAACGACGAGGTCTGGAGTTGCCTTGATCGGGTGCTGCAGCTGAAGCCCAAGGAGGACGTCAATGGGAAGCCTACACCTTTCAACTCCGTGATCGTGTCCAAACTGGTATGCTCCCCTCTCTCTAGTCCGTGCCTTTTCTCTGCTTTCCTATTTTTTGATTTCGAGTCACCCGTTCCATAGGGACTTGGAGTTTACAAGTCTCGGCCACACCTTC